CACAATCGAGCAGTGCTCGGACGCTTCACGGAGCCCGATAATCGCTTTGAGCACGTCCACGTGGATTTGATCAAGCTGCCGCTTGTTGCAGGAATGCAGTACTGCTTGACGATTATTGACAGATTTACCAGATGGCCAGTTGCAGTTCCCCTGTCAAACGTGCAAGCGAATACCGTGACAAAAGCGTTTTTGGACAACTGGGTCAGTCTGTACGGCACTCCACTCTACATCACGTCCGACCGAAGGGCGCAATTTGAGTCCGAGCTCTTTGTTGGACTCGCCAAGGCCATAGGCGCACAGCTTATACGCAGGACTTCGTACCACCCCCAGTCAAACGGCATGGTGGAGAGGTTCCATCGCACCTTGAAGGCTGCGCTCCGGTGCTGCCCGCAGTCCTGGCTGGACTGCCTTCCCACGGTCATGCTGGGGCTGAGAACGGCTTTTAAGGAGGACCTCGAGGCCTCCCCTGCAGAAATGCTATATGGCACTACCCTGCGCATACCAGGCGAATTTTTCGTGTCGGAATCAGTGCAGGCGGACAAGTCCAGTTTTGTCGCAAGTCTTCGCAGACTCTTCAGGGCTATCCGGCCGGTTCCAGCAACCAGGCACACCACCGCACGCCCCTTCGTGCACAAAGACCTGGAGAAGTGCTCGCATGTGTTCAAGCGAGTAGATAGTATTAAAAAGCCGCTTGAACTGTCTTATACAGGCCCGCACCGAGTCATTAAAAGGACGGAAAATAGAACTTATGTAATTGAGGTCAATGGGCTGGAGAAGGTCGTGTCGGTTGATGAACTGAAGCCCGCGTATCTGGAGCCTGCGGAGTCCAGCTGTGCGGACCAGACTGCTCAGCAACAACCTCCAGAAACAGGACCATCTCAACAAATCAATGAGCAACCGTCTCAACAAATCAACGAGCAACCGTCGCAACAAAGCAACGAGCAACAACAGCAGCAACTCCCAGGCTCGGAACCAACATCAGAAGCCACCAGCCCAGAGCCTCCAGTGCATACCATACCAAAGCACGTAATATTCCCTTCGCTTCCTGCGAAGGTCACTGGAAGGGGAGTGGTTGTGGCGGCTCGGCCCAGCGCGCCAACGACGTGCCAACGTCGCAAGCAGACGCTGAAGCCGAGAGAGGATTTTGACTAGCGCAGTCGGCCTCTTTCTCTNACGACCTCCGGTTAAGGTAGTTGTTTCCCAATATATACGTACATAAACATATACATCTATCTGTGGCGGCTCGGCCCAGCGCGCCAACGACGTGCCAACGTCGCAAGCAGACGCTGAAGCCGAGAGAGGATTTTGACTAGCGCAGTCGGCCTCTTTCTCTCTCACACGCGCTAAGGAACGGGAAGGGCGCCGCGCTTGATCACCGTGGTGCTGTGACCGTCCTGCTCGCTCGCACACGCCAGGGCTTTACCACCACAGCTGAGGCGGGAGAAGAGAGGCCGGAGGAGAAGTTGGAAACCCGGGAACAGGAAAAGGGTCTGTCTGCGCGCGGGACGCCGCCTAGCTTGACGGCCTGTACGTGCTCTCTGGCCAAGAGTGCGTACTCAAGAGGAATCCAGTTTTTATACACATTATAACTATTTAAGCAATTACTCTTCATCTCTAAGTTAAGTTAAAAGCAAGTTCATGTAAAGCTCAACGTTGTGGCATTAAAGATTCATTAAAGTATTTGTGTGTTCCCCCTTTTCTTTACATTATCCTTCGCCCACGTGCTCGCGCAAAAGCTCTCTTTTGCGAGGTCCGTACAATGACCTCCAAATATCTACTTTTACTCATGTAACAGAGTGACGTTGCCCCATAAGTGATACTTACTTGGTTATCTTTCAAAATCAAACGAAGAGCACTTTTTTGATTACTATTACTTGAAAACTATGAGGTAAAAAGTTCTTTAAAAAATGTATGTGTCTTTACTGTCTAAGTAAGTTTTCAGTAGTTTTTTAATTATTTATAGATATGCGGTAAGTTACACTTTTTAAAATAATGGGGCTATGTAGTTTTTGCACCATTGCTCCAATGTTGAAAGAGTGATTTTTTGACGAGGATATTTCAATAACGACGTGGTAAATCAATCTCAAATTCTCAAATTTTTTACACATATTTTTCGACGTTTAGATTAGTTTTGCTGAAAATTTCGTGCCTTTTTAGATACTTTTGATTTAGGAAACAACTACCTTAAAATAAGCTCGGCTCGGCTCTCTATCTCTTTCTCCACGCGCAGACTGCCGCCCTTCTCTCGTTTGTAAGGTGTACTACCTGTATTATTATAGCTGTATAAAAAAGTACATAAAAATTAAATATCATACATGTATAATAATAATATAATAAAATTATTTGGGCGTTTTTTATATTATATATTATTGAGCCCGACGATTTCAAAAGAAGTAGTTGCGATTATTTTTAAGTGGTCTATTAGTGTCAAAATTGTGTTTTAAAGTTCGTTTTGCTTATATCTTTTAACGGTTTGATATACAGAAAAAATAAAAATACCAGCGTGTAGGGTGAATAATTTTTCATCAATAAGCACTTTTAAATTTCTTTCGACAGTCGCAAAATGTTGAGAAAAAAATTGAAAAAGGCATTTTGGCAGTACCTGTAAAAGTAAGTAAAATAGAGAGAGCCATTGATCGTCTGCTCTCATGTTTGCTCTCTTTTTATTGTACTCATACAGGTAAGCATTTTTCATTGCTTTCTTGAATATTTTGTGCTTGTAGAATATGATTAATTACTAAAATTAGTATAATTTTTTTTAATTTCTTCTCTGTGAACAGGATTATTTTAAAATTTCAATATTTGACCATAGTTCCAAATTTTCCCGGGTTCTTCCAATTGTGTTTATTCAAACTCCATCTTAAACCGTCTTTAGTAAAGAACCAACCCAACAAAATTCGCGCATGTGCGTGTTGAAGTACACGACTGTATCGATAGGCTGTAGGCATGCGCGTCTGCGCAAGCATATGTGTGCTTGTGTTAGAGGAGAGGCATGTACTGCGCCAGTTCTGATTTGACCATAGTCAAGTGTACACGTAACACTTAGCTCTCCTTGAATTTATAAAGTCTGTATACACGTAAAATTCCGTTATAGTCAGTCGTCAGTAAGTTTTGTCAAGTCAGTTGAATAAATAATTTCATAAAAATAAATCTGTAAAGTCGTCTCCTTATTTCCTCAACCTATAACCCTTGAGGTTACGGGCCCCAGCACGTTTCACCGCGCTTTTCTCTCGTTTGTGCTTTACTTTTTCTAGTCCCTGGGAGGAAAATGGTTGATAGGAAACTAGCTCTGGCTAAGGAAAAGAGTGAGGAGATCGCGACTTCATGGACGGGGAGCTCCGGGTGACCGGGACTGAGAATGAGGCCGCGGCGATGGTGTTGCCCCCATGATCTCCCAAGGCAGCAAGCACAGATCAGCTTGAGGTGCAAAATGTCGGTAAGTGATAGCAATATCATTAAGTGTTTTGTGTCGAATCTCGGAGACAGTGCTACGGCAAGAGACAGTCAAAAACAAGAAAAAAAACAAACAAACAAGAAAAGGTCAGCAAGTTCCTAGAAGAACTCGGGAAAAATAAAACTGTCTACTCGCACGTGATGACAAAAGCGCCGTGGGCATGTGCTCGGTTGTTTTCGAATGTGTGGAAAAAGACAGGGGGAGGTAACGAGCAGAGAGAAGGCGTTCGCTCTCCGTCTTACTAACATGAGACCACATGGCCTCTCTCGCGCGCATTGAACAGCGATGCGCGACTTCTAACCACAAAATAATTCTCTCTCTCTCTCTCTCGGTTTCCGCCGTAGTAACCGTGATCGAGCTCGGTCGGTGTTTTGTTTTGGCTCAAACGAAGGTAGTAAGGGTGATACATAAACACTCTGAGATCGATACAACAAAGGCAGATACCTCATATTAAATAAAAATGAGAGATAGTTCGTTGAATATTTTCCTGTATAAAAGGCAGAAAATTTATTTTAGATGAGCAGACTTTCAATGCTCTGTCAAGAGCTTGTCACAGTATTTGTCTGCGCGTAGGGCCAAATGTACGAGACTCGGAAGTCGTGTTATCGGCGGACGAAAGCTGTATCAGGGCCCATGTCGGGAGTGATATTGTAAATGTCGAAGGTGCGTAATATACATTCTTAAATTTTTCGCTGTGACCTGCACAGTCACGTGAGGCTTGTGTTCGGCCACGCAGGACTGTGTAGGTGCCCAGCACACAATAGTGCTTTGTGTGCACTGGACCGATTGACTAGAAACGACTTGTGTTCGGTTGGTCTAGATTAACTCTCTAAAGACTCCTGATATTTGTTGTGTTTTAGAAGTCCTGATTGAAAACGACATTTTGTACTAGTTGAATTTTCTCGGCCTTAAGGGCGGAAAACTAACACTACCAGGAGATCTTTTTAAGGAAGATTTCGAAAATGGAAATTCTGCTCAAAATGAACCCAGGTTATTTGTAAAGTCGGTTGATGTGAATAAGACAGTTGATGAGATTAAGTCAGTTTATAAAACGTCTGATACTGATGCTCTAAATGCCATCGGTAATGGCAGAAAACGTGACGAGAAATTTAAATTAGACAGAAAGGTAGGCATTGAGGATACGTCGGAAAAACGAGCAGAAACCGTTTTCAAACTAAGCACAGGCGAAACTCCGCGAATAAGTATAAAGAAAATAGAAACAGTGCCAAATAAATATAAATGGTCAAAGGTAGTGATTGAACGACAGTCGACATCAGACGAAAATAAAGTTTCAAAAATTACAGAAAACAGTCCAACGCGCAGACTGGAAAACCTAATGGCCGAATTCGACCAAATGTTAAGAAGGTGGCAAAGGAAAGGAGGAAGGCTGAAGAGGAAAAGCAGGAAGAAGAGCGGGCAAGGGAGGAGTTCTACTCGGTATTGCAGAACTTTGATCAAATACTAAATAGGTAGAACGAAAGGCTGGTGAGACTCGAGACACTGGCCACCTCCAGACCTCCTTCACACTCCACGCCAAGACCTGGAAGAAACCAGGTGAGCATAAAAGAAAAACTTAAAAATTTCTTTGACGAAACAAATTCAGATAACATACCCAAAAGTGGCGCAGAACTTATTGATACAAGCATTTGGAACTCAATTAATTCTAGACTCGGGCGTGATTCTCTTAATTTCTTTCATTATAGTCTAACTAAAGATGTTAAATTTGAAGTCTTTTACGATAAATTGAAGTCAGAACTCTGGTCAAAAGGACTACTGTATGTTATTGATCCTTCGGTTAAAACCTTACAGTCAATAAGTGAAGACGCGATTCGTGATGATAAGGTAAAAGTCCGAGATCCACTATTGAACAGAGTAGCTCAGAGATTTCATCTTGGAATATTGCGACTGCAAGACCCGATTTAAATTTCAGAAAGTCTGAAAAATTCTAAAAGGGGAGATACACCTATCACTACGGCCGCAATTCGGAGAAAATTGCACGAAATTAAATTTAATAAAGGGAAAGAGTCGGTGTCTAAATTTATTGAAAGATTTGAAGAATTGGTGAGGAACTATGGGGTTAAAAGTACGTCTGATCCCTTTTCTGAAAAAAAAGAGAGATGCTTCTTGTACCGCTGTAGTTGGAGTGGTATCTAGCGTGCAGGTGACAGATTTCACCCTTAAAATGCAAAGCAAAGACGGAAAGGGTATGGCATACGAAAATCTTATGTCGTACATGTTAAAGGTTGAGTTGGAAGGCTTGGCAGAAGCAACCAGAGGCCAACCCACAAGGGCGATGTTGGCAGCATCTTGGCCCCAGAATTGCCTTCAGTGCTTCAACTGCGACGACTGGTACCATATGGCAGACCAATGCCCGAAGGCTGGAACCGGACTCAAAAAGTGCTACACTTGTGGCACTTTTGTGAACGATATACCAGCCCACAAAAAGTGCAGCCCAAAATGAGGTGAGCAATTTAAGTCATATTCATGGAATTTTAAAAGGCAGAGGCGAGGAAGCCGAGAGAATCAAGGTGGCCACGGCCGCGGCCGTGGCGGTGGCCGGGGTCGCTCAAATTCCCGGGTTTTGGGGCAGAAAAGAGACTTTAGCAACGTCAGAGATAAAAGAGACTCCAAAAGACAGAAACTTTCTAACCAGGACCGAAAAACTAAGGGAAAACAAAACGCGTTGGGTTCAAATAAA